TTGGATAATCTGCTGGCACCTGTGTTTGATGCTCTTCCACCCCATTGCACTGCTTAGACTGAGGCCAAAGGCCAGATCCTGCAAGTGTGTTTGTGGCAACAGCACTGCTTAAGTGAGGGAGAGTTTTATCAGAAAGGAAAAAAAGACTGGTCAGGATCCGCCCTGGAAAGTATCACCTGTAAGGAAATGACCCCAGTGTCATCATCCTTTATGCTTCTCTGGAGCCTCATATTCTTTTTAACAAGCACTGCACCAACTGACACTGTTTGTTGTGGCAAATATCGCAACAATGCCTTGTGCTGCCTTGCTTGAGGACACAGTGTGAAGTATAGACCACTCAGTCTCAGGGAACCAGGAGAAACGTAATGTCTAGGACGATTTTAGAAAGAATTGGGAAAGATTTTTCACATGTAGATCTCAGCTGCTGGAGGCTGTGCATCAGCCTGTGTGTGATCTAGAGAGATTTTTATAGAGGTTTCAGGATACAAGCAAGCAGGGATGGGTTTGGGACTGTGTAGATACCATCAGAGATGCTGTGGAGCCTTGTTGCTGCTGAGGCCTCTGTATCCAACTGAGATGTGGGCTCCAGTTAACTAGTGTGATATTTGCACAAATTCAGCCTCTGCAGCTCAAGGAAAGAGAAAGAAATGTACAAAATAAAAATGGGCTTGGGTTTGATAATTTGGGCATGCAATGAGTGATGCTGTAAAAGGGGATAATGTGGCTGGGCATAGGAAAGAAAAGGAAAAAAAAAATCTACATTGATGTATCTTACATAGATACATGTATCTTTCATCCCCTTTAAAATGAACATTATTCACTTGAAAGAGTTAAAAATAACATCAGATTTCTCTCCTTCTTTGATTCTGTGATTCATGTGTCCCATTTTAAAGTCTACACCCTGTGAAGAGGAGTACATTATCAAGGAAAGAGCCTTGCCAGGGACAGAAGGTAATTTCCCGTAGCAGGTGCGTACAGCAGGTGGTACACAGTGTACCTGCAACGAAAAGGTAGATTTAGGCTAAGATTTTATTTAATATGGAAAACTTATTGCATCCTGAGCCACTACTGGGGATGTGCCAAAAATCGTGTCTGCAGCATGATTTATTACGTGAAAATACCACCGAACTAATCAGTGGAGTTACTAATTAATACAAATCTGCATTTTTGCATAAGCAATTAGTGCAAAGAGAGTGCAATGAAAGAGGAAGTTTGACTCATTTAATCTCAGTGTCTATTCAAGCGGAAAGACCCACTAGGGCAAGGCACTAGGATCTACATTTGGATTTTTTTTTTCCTTTTGATTAGTTAAAGGAACTAAAAGGTCAAATTATCAATATTTAATTCAAATGGAAATGCATTTGTTCAAGAGGAAAGAAAACACTTTATTTAAACAAGGTGGGACTCTGGGGGTAAATGCCTGGATCAAAAATAATTAGGTTTTGCAGTTATAACAGCATCTAAATCCCTTCTGATAAGAATCCTTTTTCCTAATGACAGAGGTGGTTTGACACCGATAGCAGAGTGCTGACGCTATTTAAACTATAGCTCAGGAGGTAGCCGGCCTACCAATACAATTTAGACATTTGCTTTAATGGTACGTACTTCTCTGATTTGTTTGTTTTTAATCAATTTGAATTATATTTTAAATCTATTGTGATTTCATAATTGTGTGCACTTGACTAAAAGAGTAATTTAAAAAGCTGATAATTAAACCTCGGTGGTGATGTATTTTCCATTAACTAAATAGAAGTTTACATTTATAGAATTAAAACAACAACAGCGTTTATCTAGCAGGGAAAGGCTCAATAAAATTAATACACTGAGTTTTAAGGGGGGAAAGAGCAGAAAAGGCACCTTAATCATCCGTACCAATTTTGGAGCCCAGATGTACACTGTGTCCTAGAGAGACGCTACGAAGCGCGGAGCCGTCTCACGCCGGTGGCACCGAACCGGTACCGGAGAGGCTCATCCAGGGCGCGGTTCTCCCGCGGCGATTCCAGCGGCAGGCTGGCCCCGGCTCGGGGTGATGCGGGCGGTGGGGCTGCCCTCCCCTCCCGTGCCCTCCCGTCCCGTCCCCTCCTGTGGCCGCAGCCTTTGGAATTGGGGAGCGGGGCAGCGCCGCGGGCAGACCCGGGCCGGCCCTTCCCGAGTCCGATCGCTCCGGCCCCGCGGTGCCGTGCCCTGGGGAGGGACAGACGGACAGGGACAGCGGGCAGAGACGTTTTCCCTTCTCTGTTTTTTAATCAGGATAACCTCCTTGTTTTGCGTGTGTGCCTCTCTGGAGAGGGAGGACGGGAAACCTGGCAGCGAAAGGAGAGCCCGAGCGGCCCGGGCTACCCGGGCAGTAAATCACTCGCTCAATTATAAGCGCGGCTTCCTCTCTCCAATAGCTCCAAGCTATTTGGGGAGGCATCTTTTCCCCGCACTCTCGCAGGTGCAATATGAATCAATTATCTTAATTAAGATAATGCCGCAAACCCAAGAGATTTCGTCGGGAGCGGATTTCGCGCTCCGGACAACTGTAAGGCGTTTCCACAGCGCTGCCTCCCCCCGCAGCGAGCCCCCCTCGCTCCCGGCTGGGACAGCGGCGGCCCCGGGAGCGCCTCCTGCCAGCGCCGGGGGGCGGCAGCTGAGGCGGGAGCGGGGGCGGACGGACGGACGGACGGACGGAGCTTTGTTGGGACGCGTGCGGTTCGCGTGCCGCGCCGCGGGAGGAGGGGAGGGGGGCGGGAAGCCAGCTAGGGAGGGAGGGATGGGGGCAGAAAGGAAAAAGAAAAGGAAAAGGAAAAGGGAAAAAAAAAGAAAATAAAGAAAAATTAAAATAAAGGGAAAAGGAAAAGAAAAGACAAAATGAAAATTTTTTTAAAATCATTAAAAAACAATAGGGAGAGAAAAGAAAACCAAAGGATTCGGGAGGAAAAATAAACAGAAGCCGAATTAGAAGCCAGATGGAGAAGGAGGAGTCTGTAGGTCAGGGAGAAAAAAATAGGCACGCTTGGAGCGATAAAATCAAGCGGCTGGGGGAAGAGGAGGAACCGGGAAGGTGGGAAACTGGAGCCGTTGAGCCAGGGACGGCCCGAGTAGGGGAGGCAGAGCCGGCTGCCTGCGGGACCGGGAGCAGAAGCAGCGCCGCAGCCCCGGCAAGGGCGGGAAGGTGAAGGCGGAACGGCGGAGAGCCCCGGGCCCCCGCAGCGCTGCGCCCGTCCCCGGCCCCGACGGGCGGCACCGGAGCAGGGCCCCGTACCTGCGGGCCCGGCCACCGGTACCCTCGTCAGTCACCCACTGGGGTGGGACGAGCCGGGCCAGCCGGGTTTAAGCCCCTCTGTCCGACTGCCTGCTTCTTTATTTGTCTCTCTAGTTACCTGCCAACCGACAACGTGTTGATTTTATCTTGCTCCCAGGGAAGATGACTGTGTTCATCACACTCAGAAGCACACGAGCACCCCAAAGTTCTCACCGCTCCCCGAGATGCAGTTTTCTGTCAGTGTCCTCCTCCCAATACTCTTGCCTAGTGTTTCCCCAGTGCACCACATTCCCGGGTGTATTCCCAGACAGAGTCATTCAAAGGGACATTTTCCAGTAATCTAGACAGGGCTGGACCAGACCCATCTCTCTCGTGCACGCTCCAAACCTGTTTGAACCTCACTGCCTCCAAAACTTGTCCGTTCCAGCAGCGCGGCCGCCCCCGCAGCTCCCGTTAATGGGGTCGCGCTCTCTCGGGGGCTGCCGGCCCGGCCCAGCCGCCCAGGGAACGGGCATGCACCGGACCCCGGCCCGGGGGTGCCTCTGTGGCCGGAGAAGGCTCGCCAGGGCAGGGCCATCCATCGGTGGCCAGGGCAGGGCCATCCATCGGTGGGTCGCTTCCGTCCCCTCCGTGCCGCAGGGAAGGGCCGCAGCCGCCGGGCCCCGCGGGTGCCCCGCTGCAGCCGCGTCCGCCGGACCGGGTGGCGCACACCGCGGTGCTGGCCCTCGCTTCCCACCGGGAACCGGCCAGATTCGACGTAACAAAAAGTAGCCGGTTGCCCTCTGTATTTGGTTACCGACAAGGCGAACATCCCCGGAGTCCCCTCCTGCTGCCCCTGGCTATGTAGGTCACCAACAGGAGAGAAACATTTTAGAAATAACCCGACCTGGAAAATTATCTTCCAAATCCATCTCCTCAGGGGGGAATGATTTGTTCCGCATTTAAAGCCTCAAGAGGTGAAAATAATTTTATTTTTATTGAATAAATATCCGGATAACGCGTGCCGGTAGCACAGCTATCATGCAAGGGGGTTACATCCCTCCTCAAAGCGCATCCCTAAGGTTTGGCGGCCTTTGCAAATTCCGCCGAGACATTTGAAGACTCTTAAGCCGCCCCACTCGGCTTCTTTCTTCCAAACTTTCCGTTAACCGGCAGCATTCCCACCGAAAACCCGGGAAAAGCGAGCCGGCGTTTGCTCCGGGCGTTGGGACAGAGCGGCAGGTGTGTGTGTGTGTGTGTGTGTGTGTGTGTGTGTGTGTGTGTCACAGCCCCGGGACGTCCACTTTCCCCAGCACCGGCGCAAACCGGGAAAAGAGGAGGGGGCCTGTGACAAGGACGGGGACCGGGAGTCTCGGGGGGCCAGAGGCGCGCGTGAGGAGATGTAACGGGGTAGCGGCGGGAACCCTCGGCGGCCGCACCCCAGAACAATGGGAACAATGGGGCTCCGCGGGCCGGGGCTGGGCGGCGGCGGGCGCGGAGCGGTGCGGAGCGGTGCGGAGCTGTGCGGTGGCGGTGGCGGTGTCGGCGGTGCCATTGGTGACAGATGGCGCGGCCCGCGGGTCAGCGCGGGCGTGGCGGCTCCGCGGGCGGGCGCGCGGCCGCATACAAATAAGGGGCGTCACGTGGGGGGGGCGCCGCGCGCCTGACGTGGGCGGCCATATGGCGCGTGCCACCGGGCGGGGCGCGGGGCGGGGCGGGGCGCAGGCGCGCGGGGCGCGGCGGGCGCGCGCGGCCCGGGTCCCGGTGCCGGCCCCCCGGCGCGCATCCTCCGTCCCGCTATATAACGGGGGGAGCCCGGCGCCGGGCAACCTCGGGAAATACACGCCACACGCACACACGCGCGGCGCCCTCGCACGGACAGCTGTGCCGGGGTTATGAGACCGTCACCGCGCAGGAGAGGCTGAGCGACGGAGGTAACGGGAAACCGTGTGTTACCCCCGGGGAAAAGGGTTCTGCCGGGGTGGGAGAGGACCCTGCGACGTCGGGGCGGACGGGATATGCCTCTGCCTGAACGGCTTCAGGTTTTATTGTCGCTTGCGGTCGTTCCTGCTGGTGTGCGCGGGCACACCTGTATCCATCCATACACACGTACGCGTGTGTGTACATTTATATATGTATGTATGTAAATGCGTGTGTGCGTCCATGCACGCATTTAAATCCGTTTGTACAGCCGCATATTAGATATGTTAATGTACTTCCACCGATGCACCTCCGAACTTTGGGCTCCCCTTCCTCCCGGAGCGCGATCGCCGCGGTCCCGGCGCAGGCTGTGCCTCGGCGGCCGTGCGGCATTGTTCCTTCCCGGTGCGCCCGACGCCACCGGGGAGCGGTCCCAGCCCCGCACGGGAAGCGAGGAACCGATGCTCGTTTGCAACAGAGGGGACGACGGAGACGGGAAGCCGGGGCCAGTCCCGCACCTGTTACCGCAGGGGCAAGGCAGGGCAGGGGCCGCGCAGCCCGGTGACAGTGCTGCGGACGGAGGCGGCACCGGGGAGCAGGTGCTCGGTGCCCGCTGGGGCGGACAAGCCCCACGCAAGGAGGCGGCGAGGGGGAACCGCGGAGAGCGGCGGGGACAGGCGACACAGGCGCCAGCCGTCCCTGCAGGTGCCCTGTGTGCGCGTGTGTCCTCCTTCCCCCTTACCCTATTCGGCAAAAATGTTTGAGGAATTTTTTCCGAAGCAAAACAAAACAAAACAACCCGCTCTTGGTCCGCTTGCGTCGTGCCGCCCGGGCTGGCTCCCGCACGCATAATCTGCTTATATTCCCCGCTAATATCGGCGAGTTACATAATGGCATTTGAACATATGTCAACTTAATTACAAGGCAGAAACGCGGAGACAATTAAAAGTTTGCCCTGGCACGGTGGGGAATCCAGGGCTTCCCTCGGGAGGGGGCGGCGGGACCGGGGAGCGAAGCGCGGGCAACTTCTCCCCGCGGGTGGCCACGGTCGCTGCTCCTGGTGCTGACACGTCTCTTTTCTGTCCTCTCCGCCATGCAGAGGCTCACCATGACCAAGTCGTACAGCGAGAGCGGGCTGATGGGCGAGCCGCAGCCGCAGGGCCCCCCGAGCTGGACGGACGAGTGCCTCAGCTCCCAGGACGAGGAGCACGAGGTGGACAAGAAGGAGGAGGACCTGGAGGGTCTGCACGCCGAGGCCGAGGAGGACTCCCTGCGGAACGGAGAGGAGGAGGACGAGGAGGACGACTTGGACGAAGAGGAGGAGGAAGAGGAGGAGGAGGAAGACGACGACCAGAAGCCCAAGAGGCGGGGCCCCAAGAAGAAGAAGATGACCAAGGCGCGCATGGAGCGCTTCAAGCTGCGGCGCATGAAGGCCAACGCCCGGGAGCGCAACCGCATGCACGGGCTGAACGCGGCCCTGGACAACCTGCGCAAGGTGGTGCCCTGCTACTCCAAGACGCAGAAGCTCTCCAAGATCGAGACCCTGCGCCTGGCCAAGAACTACATCTGGGCGCTCTCCGAGATCCTCCGCTCGGGCAAGAGCCCGGACCTGGTGTCCTTCGTGCAGACCCTCTGCAAGGGCCTGTCGCAGCCCACCACCAACCTGGTGGCCGGCTGCCTGCAGCTCAACCCGCGGACTTTCCTCCCCGAGCAGAGCCAGGAGGTGCCTCCGCACGTGGCGGCGGCGGCGGCGGGCGCGCCCTTCCCGGCGCATCCCTACCCCTACCAGTCTCCGGGCCTGCCCAGTCCGCCCTACGGCACCATGGACAGCTCCCACCTCTTCCACCTCAAGCCGCCGCACGCCTACGGCGCCGCGCTGGAGCCCTTCTTCGAGAGCGGGCTGGCGGAGGGCGCCAGCCCCGCCTTCGACGGGCCGCTCAGCCCGCCCCTCAGCGTGAACGGCAACTTCTCCTTCAAGCACGAGCCGGCCGCCGACTTCGATAAGAGCTACGCCTTCTCCATGCACTACCCCGCCGCCGCCGCCGCCGCCGCCGCGCTGGCCGCCGCGCCCGCCCACGCCGCCATCTTCCCGCCCGCCGCCTCCCGCTGCGAGATCCCGGTGGACGGGCTGGCGCCCTACGAGGGCCACCCGCACCACGAGCGCGTCCTCAGCGCCCAGCTCAACGCCATCTTCCACGACTGAGCCCCCCGCCCTGGCCGCAGGGAGCGCCGGGAGCCGCGCCCGCCGCCCGCCACCGCCTTGTTTACAGCGGGCGGCCCGGCGGGTCCCGCCGCCGCCCCGGGCCCGCTGTCGGCGCTGCCGCTCCTCGGGGCGACGCTGTAAATTGGGGTAGGGGCATTGGGATCGCGTCAATTACCTGATCGGGATAACAAAATCACAAGCAATAATTAGGATCTATGCAATTTTTAAACTAGCGATGGGCCAATTACAAAATATATATGAAATCTATATTTTTCAACCAACGTTTTACTACTTGTTACCTTTCCCATGCTGAATTATTTTGTTGTGATTTTGTACAGAATTTTTAATGACTTTTTATAACGTGAATTTCCTATTTTAAACCATGCAGCTTCATCAATTTTTATACATATTGGAAAGGTAGAATTATATCTAATTTATACAAAATGATTTAACTAATTTAAACCAGCAGAAAAGTGCTTAGAGAAGTTATGTTGCCTTAGCACTTCTTTCCTTTTCAAATAGATGAAGAAGAAGAAAAAAATGCACAATCCGGGCAATTTCTTTCCTATCCAAGTCTCTTTTTTCATTCTTTTTCTTTTTTTAATTTCTTTTTCCTTTACCCCGTACAATAAGAACCAGATCCCCTAGGTCTTGAGAAGATATAAGAACGATAGACTTATTTTCTATTAAAACATATCATTTCAACACATTACTTGCACAAACTTGTATATAAAGATTATAAGCAAATGCCAACACCCTTTTTAAATCGAAAGCTGCTTGACTATCACATACAATTTGCACTGTTTCTTTTTAGTCTTTGAACCCCTTGGCATTCCGTGGTTTTTGGTTTGTTGGAATTTTTTTTGTTTGTTTTGGTTTTGGTTTGTTTTTTTTTTTAAAGATAACTTGAAGATGTTAATGTTTCCAGGCGCTATAAATGCATGATTTTATACACGTTCACACAATCCGTGGTTGTCATATGCTCATCTTATAAATCTGAACCGAAATCTAATCAGGTTGTTAAAGTCGGGCTATATACCTATTGTAGTCGATTAGTACGGTAGCTTGAAACAAATTCAAACCATTTAATCCGTAATTAGAACAATAGCTATTGCATGTACAATGCAGTCCAGAATAAGTGCTGTTTGAAATGTAACGCTGGTTCAACTGGAATCAATCTGTACTGTAATTTTGTTTGTAATCCTGTATATTATGGTGTAATGCACACTGGGATTTTAGAAAAAAAAAATCCATCCTTTGGCAACAACATAGTATTGAACATTTGGTCGAATGTTGCATTTTTCCTTAAATGTGATTTTTTTTCTTAGTGTAAGTAATTCCTATGGGATTATTGTTTTATTCGGATAGCTCATGAAAGGTGCAACACTTATTATTTGTAGAATAAAATTGGTCTAAAAAAAAGGACACGGGTTCTTTACTTACCTTGAGAAGTGCTCGGGCCGGGGCTGGGGGGTGGCGTTCGTTTGTTTACAGATAAACCCGGCTATTTGCAATGCTGATTTGTTGGACGAGGGGAGCGGGGCCGGAGCGCCGTTCGCTGGGAGCTGCGGCTGCCGGTGCGGGCTGCGCCGGGCTCCCGGTGCACCTGCCCGGGCGGCTCAGCCCGGCCCTGCCATCCCCGGGGTGTCCGCAGCCGGCAGCCGGCCCCGGGGTGTCCGCAGCCATCCCCGGGGTGTCCGCAGCCATCCCCGGGGTGTCCGCAGCCGGCAGCCGGCCCCGGGGTGTCCGCAGCCATCCCCGGGGTGTCCGCAGCCGGCCCCGGGGTGTCCGCAGCCGGCCCCGGCCCGGACCCGCACACCCGGAGCGGGCGCTTGGGCCCCGCGCTTGGGCAGCAGGTGCGCCTTCCCCCCGCAAGGCAGACCTGGACCCGCGCTATCGATTTATCGTCCCTTCCCCTTTGCAGACGGGAAACGTATTCCTTTAATCTTCGCTGATTATTCTGAGGCTTAAGAAAGCCGGAGACACAACCTGCGGGAGAGCAATTCCCCTAATGACCGGGAACAATTATCAACAGGTCTTTGCCTCCGACCGTCAGAAACAGATTTAAGACGTTACCTGAAACACTTTACATGAAGCCTGTCGCAAAGCGGGGGTATTTCATAAATATTTCAGCTAAACCCAGCAGAAAGTAAACAAGCTTTGCTATGGATGAGGGCATTTTTTTCCCCAGGAGAAATCAAGCTTTTGGCGTCTATTTTAAAGGTGTTTGCAGCTACGGAAATCCAACGTGTAAGCATAGCAAACCTGCCCTAGCAGTTCAGCAGCCCCTGCTGCCAGGCTTCCCCGTTAAAAACATGCTAAAATTTAATTGCGACGCCGACTGATGCATTTTGCAGCATCTCCCTGCATTTCGCCAGAGCCTGCAGCTCCACACTCGAAAACTGTTGCTGAATCTGAAATGACAGAATGCAAAAGGCAACTTTTCAAGCACCCATAAACCTTTCCCAGTCAGTGGCAATACAGGTAAGGGTCCCCTAGATAACCCGGGGGGGATAAATGAATGATGATTTTTCAGATAAAATTGAAAAAGCTGACCCAGGCTTGCTTGCCTTTTGGTTATGCACCTTCCTCCTAAATACAAGGATTCTTCTAGTCAGTCAAGGGGCAACTCACATGCCACCATCTTTTATTCAAAGGCAGGCACAGATGTTCCTTCTGCAGGGGAGGTTTTAATTTATGAAAATGATATTGTTTATGCATGAATGCACTCTGCATAACACACAGTACTTCCATCTGATGAGAGAAATACCACAGAACCAGTGCCAATGTCAGGAACATATTCTGCAAATTTAGTTGCTTAAATGTGTAATGAATATTTGGAAGGCATTTCCAAAGCACAAGAAACCTTTTCAATTACCTTTTCTTTTTCCACTATTGATAACAAAATTCAACTCTTCCAGCCAATGCAACCTACTTAAAAGATCAATCTAGGCTATCTCAGTATTTGCTACTGTGATACTTCAGAGAAAGTAATGTTTTAATGTTATGAGCAATCTAATAAGGAAAATTAATTAGGCATTTTGGTAACTAGAGGCTCTAATTTACAAATCACTTGCAAGTTTTCTTATTTCAATTAGTTTTGGGTGGTTTTTTCCCCATCACCACCCTTATAAAATACTGGAGACCTTCCCCCCTCCCCCGCTTTGCTGATGCTTCTGATGTCTCCATGATATTTCTTTCATATTATTAACATCAAGCCAAATGTTGAAATTTCTGCTCATGACTCCCACAGGAAGGTCTATCAAGGTCTCTTTTAATGGAAAGAATTACTCACACTGTTCCTATCCTATGAACATATCGCTAATTAACTAAGGCTACAGTGGGATTATCCAACTTCCGCATGCAGAGAAACAACTCTGGGGTTGGTTTGTGCCCACACGCACACTGGCTCAGCCAGCACAGGCCTAAAGCTCTATTTTTAGGGCTGGTTGTGACCAATGGCCTTTCCCTTCTTCTTTATGACATACTTCTGACAGCAGAAATTGCTCTGCCACTGGTGCGTGCTTGAGGTTAAATCTGCAGGTACAGTACACAAGAAACAGTCATGACTAGCAGCTGTTCCCTTCTGGGTTTCTGGAACAACAGAAGAGGATCTGTGGAGGTTGTGGACCCATTGCTGGCTGTGACAGACACAGTGAGGAGTCTGAAATGGTGGAATTCCAGGTTACATCCACAAGATGCCTCAAAGACTGAACACTCTGGTTTTAACCAGCCCAAATGAACAATGTGCCTGAACAACATCAGACCTTGGCCCAGTGCACTCAGGAGGAGTCTCCCGGTGAAGGGAAGTCGATTCAAGGAGAACCAAGATTCCTGGATTCACCAGAAGAAAACAGAGAGCCACTTTCTCCAAAAGATACTGTTACTGAATATTAATAAACTAACATGGAAAAGCAACATGCAATTCCAGAGGTAATAAGGATTAATAGAAATAATTCTAAACTGAGTACTAGACAATTCTATCTTCTGTAACAGTAATCTCACAATTATTTCAATATTGTAACTGATTAAAACTAGACCCACCTTGACCTTATCAATTGCTTCTGACATATTAAAAGCAAGAGTCTCTTTTTTAAAAAGTACGATACTTCTGGTCAGAGAACCATCCCTTCAAATAGTTTTAAAAATTACAGTTACATTTTATTCTCTTTTATAGATATATTAAAGATATCTTGCAATTAAAAAAATCAAGCAAAACCCACTAATTTCTCAGCCATTTCTATTGAGGAAGAACAGAAATGAAACTTGGAGTTCTGCCTGGTGCCGTATCAGGGAAAATATGCAGAAGTTGGTCTTTGTTTTTATTGACCAAATGGGTGGTATGGTAATTATTTCAGAAATTAAAAATGGTCGACACTTTCTCCTTATCTGAAAATCCCATATTACAAAAAATCCTTAAAACACAGTACATAAATACATAGTGAAACAGTGAGCTGAAGATCTACAAATACACTAATATCTACATAAGTGTTTTTTTAATAATTCATATATGTATTTAACAAACTGTCAGAAGCTATGCAATACAAAATTAAAACTGACAATGCTCTCAAAGCATTCTCTTAAGTATTTAGGTTGCCTAAAGGGTATGTAAAACATAGAATATCAGCCCTAATTTTCAGTTTCCTAGCTTGTAGTAGTTTGCAGCGTAGAGTTCACTGCATTTTGCATGAAATAAAATAGAAACAACTAATATTTACATGTTTACCAACACTGTGACAAAGCAAGAGACAATAAGATTCAGAGGGAAAAAATTACCTTAAAAAGATACCAACCTTAATGCAAAGAAAAAACAATACACCCCGAGCAATGCATTCTCATTTAATATTCTTCCTATTACCACATTTTTCTCTATTGTTCTGATTAATTTCAATTCATGGGAGTATCAGGAATGTCTGCAACTTCAGACTGCATTTCTGCAGCTTCTTATACCTGCATAATAATTTCACTGGTCTCTTTGCAAAGGTTTGTCCATTTCCTTATCTACATTTTTTTTTTCTCTGTTCTTTAAGGCTTTCCTTCTTTTG